TTTTTATAAGAGAAAATTTTATAGATATATATATATATATATATATATATATATATATATATATTTACTAATGAAATGTGTTTCTATTTTTTAATAGAGTTTTTTCTATGTATATTAGTAATGCTAAATGTGTAACACTAATGATTTTGAGGTGTCTTGATTTAATTATATGATTAATTGTGTGATTTATGTTGTTTAATTGTTAATTGATATTTAAGAACTCTAGAATTAAGGGATTATGAGGGTTAAGTTGGCCTCTAGGTAATTTAGTCAAATATAAGTTGGGTTTGTTTTAGGAAGAGTATATAAAAGTTTTCTTAAGATGTGAGTCTCATAAATTCATGTTCTAAAAATTTATAAAGAGAAGTTAGATAAATTCTTTAGAACTTGAGAAAAACTGTTTTTTCTTCCCTTTTTCACTTATTTAACTCATCTTCTACTCCTCATACAACTAATCAGGTGGATTGATTGTTGATTCAAGCTTGTGAAGCTATGAATCTCGGGCCTTAGGACGAGCGAAACTTCTTTCTCCTCTCATTTTCTTGTTTTGGATTAATAACAAAAGGTAAGGGAAGCTAATGATTGGTTGATTTTGCTATTGAAGTTCATATATTTGTTGAATTATTTGATTTAATGAAGTTTGAATGATGAGGTACTTGGGTTCTTGGTTGTTTAAAATTGCTCACGATTTGAAGATGATTGTGAAATGTAGTGGTTGCTTATTATCTTGGTAGTTGAAAATGAGTTCTACATGTTATATATGAGTGATTTTCATAGTTGCATGTCGTTGGATTGTTGTTTTTCAAGTGATTTGGACAAAATTAGTTTCTACATAAGTGCAAAAACTGATATCACACTAGACGCATCTTTAAAGCGTCGGGCATGATTTCAACCAAAAGGTTATGTCTTGTCACGACAAACCTAAGATTGGTGGCCTTGGACACGAGAAAAGAGAATTGTCTAAAGTTGAAATCATATTGAACGTGATTTGAATGGCACCAAATGTGAGAATAGAGAATTGTCTTTGCTTGACAAACACTAGTGGAGTGATGTTAGATGCGAATCACACAAAGGCCCTTTGCCTAATTGGGGCCGCGTGGGCTTTTGCCACATTAAGCACGAGAGGATGAAAACTCTCTACCTTAATTGCACAAGGCACAAGTAGTTTGGCATTAGGCATGGGTGAGACGGGGAGTCCCCTATCTTAATGGCGTCAAACGTCTAGTGAGTAGTGTCGAGTGCAAGTTGCATGATGAAAACTTGTTGTTTAAAGTTGTTTTATAGCTAAATGATGATGAATAAGTTGTGTGGATGATGATGTATAATAATGAATCTATATGTTGTAAGTTGATGCATGATTAATGATGTTTATGCTGTTAAGTTGTGAGATGATAGATGATTAAGTTATAAAGTTATGTGCTATTTTAAATTGTTTAAGTTGTTAAGATTCTAAACATGTGATGAAGGTAACTGCCATTGTTAAAAATACATAAAAGTTATAAGAAAATTAAAGTTGTTTTAGAAAACTAAATATCTCATTATGTGAATATATGTTGTGGTGTTTTGATGTCCTAAGTTAAATCCTTTCTGTAAGTAAGTTGATTTTTAAATAGGTAATTGTTTTAAACTATCTCTTCTTGATTTTATGTTATATCCATATATTGGTAATGTCGAGACATGCATGTATTAATATAATTATATATATAAT